TTAATACTAACTCAGACAGGATTAGCAAAATCTATATGGCGCTGGAATCAAATTATGGATCCTACAATTGACTCTCCACTTAACGCCCCCAATAGACAAGCATCTCCGGATTCCGTCACGATTCTCAAAATTTCATCAGTTAATGTAAATTCCCTTATTGCCTTGAATAGACGCACTGACCTTTTTAATTTTGTATACACCAACAAATTCGATATCGTTTTACTATGCGAAACGAAGCTAAGCCGTCGATATAAAATCCAGTTCGCTGAATATGACCTCATACGAACCGACAGACCGAACAGCCGAAAAGGTGGTGGTACTGCCATTCTAATTAGAAATAGTATTCCGTATGATATTGTCTTTAGCCCCTCCTCAAAGAACAATGAAATAATCGAATACACCATCGTTAATATTAAACAAGGTAATACCAATCTCTACTTAATTGCTCTCTACGCCAACAACAAAGACAATAGAGCCTTCTCAAACGAACTCACGCACTTATTCAGTAAACTTAGGCTTGACTCTGAAGAAAATTATTATCTTATTGCCGGGGACTTCAATGCACGGCATACAGCTTGGGGTGACAACACAAATAAGAAAAAAGGCATTCAATTAAAAAGGTGGATTGACAACGAAGGAGTTGGTTTTAAAGCCAAGATAACTCCACCGTCTGAACCCACTTTTCCAGCTGCTGGTTCATACCTAGATCTATGCGTATCGGACTGCAGATTACAGATCACTGACACCATCCTCGGGAAAATTAGAGTTCTCGACTATAACAGCGACCATAAGGCACTCGCATTCTCAATCACTCTGAATCATGGGGTTCTACTGGCTGATCCATATCATTCTTTCCGGTACAGTTACAAGAAAACTAAGTGGAGCAAATTACAGGATTACTTATCCAAAATCCACAATATCAATATACCGAGTGACAGGAACCTCACAAACGATGAGATCAGTGGCTACCTTTCTCAGTTACAAGAAACAATAGTAAATGGTATCGGCAGTGTTGTCCCAAAATTTCAACCCAGGAATAATATGCTTTATTACGTCAATAGAAAAATTTCGTCATTACACAAGAACAAATCATTCCTAGTGTCTACCCTCAATAAATTGTACCGGCTTGACAGGACCAATACAGCTGTGTCGTGTAGAATTGACTACGTCAAATCGCTTATTAAAATCACAAATATTAATATCAAAGCAGAGTATGCAATTGCCTACAATAGTTACTGGAATAGTCAATTCAAAATCATTAATCACCGCAACCCGGACGCATTTTTTCCAAAAATTAATCGTTTTTTCCGTTCGAAGCCCCAGCTTAATATTGATAAAATTGAAGTCAAACAAAATGACGCTGCATTGCTCCAGCGTGCTCAGTGTGAC